AAACCTATTTAAAAAAAAAAAACCCAAATTAAAAAAAAAAAAAAAAAAAAAAAAAAAAAAAAAAAAAAAAAAACTTGAGACCCCTGCTGTTCGGTGTGCTACATCACTAGGCACTAGCAGCCTCTCATCACTTTGGTGAAAAAGAAAACGACGTGTTGGACTTGGCTTTACATACGACATGTCATTTCGTTTTTTTTTCCACATGGCTCAGCATTAGTTTGATTTTCTCCACGTGGAAGATAGTCATTGGGTGCCAAAAGTTCTTACACTATTTGACTTTTGACACTTCTAACCGGACAGAAGAATCCGTTCCCGCTTAGCTCCAAACACAGAATCACGAAGTGGTGCCAAAGTAATTTTCACAAGATCCTAACCTCTTTAGTAAATTTGAATTTTCATTCAGACCCAAAAAAATAATAATAATAATAATAACTTCAGTCATCCTATAAAATGGCTACAAAATTGCGAGCCCCAAACTTTACCTTTTTTTGTATATTTTATCGATCCCCAATCTTTTTCTGATCCAGATTGGTACAGATCGATCCGTTCGATCTCAATTCCACTCCTTATTCGTTCAATTAGTCCTCTTCTGGACCGATTGATTCCAATTTTGTTCATCGCGACGCCCTCGATTCAATTCTAGGGTTAGGGTTTGTAAATCCCAGAAATCTTTCGATCGCGAATTCTTTTTGCCAAATTCGTTGAGTATCCGCGTCTAGATTAGCCTTTCCCGATAATAATTCATCTCTCTCTGTCGAAAATTTTCGTATTCTTCCAAAATTTGTATTTTTATTTAAAAAAAAATTTATACCCAAAAAATAATCTGTTTTTATTTTTATTTTTATTTTCTCAGTTTTGTGGCAAACCCACTATCTAAAATTGTATCTATAATTGGGTTCTGATTCGTGCGGTGCTTTTGCTAATTGTTTGAAAGATAATTCTTCCAGGTAAAGACTTGCTCTTTCTAGCTCAGTAATTTATAATTGTTGCCTTTACATAGTTAATAATAAAAAATAATAAATTTTTTTATTTTTTATTTTTTAATTTTTTTTTGGGTATCTAAGGAATAGTTGTAAGATTTTTCCCCCCCTCAAGATTATCCTCTGCTATATAATTCTTAATTCACATCCAATCCGTAGATTTTTTATGCTGTACTCTTCTTAAAAGTAACTAACTCTTAGTTGCAGTTGAGAAAGAATGATAAACAAGAGACCTTATGGTGATGAAGATTCTTATGAAGTAGCTTCTAAGCACCCAAGAGAATGCTCTTATGAGGTTGCTCCAGTTGTGGATATTGTTACTTTTCAGAATGATCCTCAAAAATCCTTTTCGGGTATGATATAAGTTATATAACTAGGCGTATTGGCTTAGTTAAGCTTTGGTTTTCCTTATTGTGCAGATCTGGCAATGAAGTAGTTTCTTTGAATTTGTTAGACTTCTCATTACTGAAAATTGCTCTGGACCAGTTGTTTTGGTTCTGACCTAGATTATTGAAAACATTGTGCGCGCGTACGTACGGATACACACATACGTATACATATGTACGCACGCGCGCCCGTACATACATACATATAAATACACATATACACTCACCCCATATACATATACATATATTTGTGTATATAGAACCTTATAAAAACTGTGTGTCCAACAAAGATATGTCTACGAGTTCATAGTTCTTTTTACTTTATTCTGGTCTTTAAGTATTCAGTTTGAGCTAATGACGTATCACCTCATGAAGTTGATGAAGGCAAGAGCAGTTTTGAGAAATGTCGAGACGAACGGAAATTCACAAGTGATTTGATCACTGATGTCTCAAAAGAGAGTAGAGAAGCTGAAAATGGACTTTCTGGTGGCACTTCCCATTATTTGTGGGTCAACAGTAATATTATTGAAGCAGATCTAAGGCTGGAGACGGCTTCTCATCTATCACTTTTTCCAGAATTCTTTGAACACGGAGACCGTCTGAGGGTTTTACTACAATCAGATGACATTTATGCGTCGTCTTCAGTTGATTACCCTCCTCAAAAGTTAGTTGCTGTTGGACCAGAACATCAAGCTTGTGTTCCAGAATGGCATCCACGGGGTTCTAACTCTTCGGATTGTCAAACTGATTTGCAAATGCTTAATGCTGATGAGGAAAAGATGGGCATTTGTGTCTTTCCAATGCCTAAGCCCGACGTTTCTTTAAATTATTGCTCTGAGGATGATGGGGTAAGCAGAAATGAGTGCAGGTGCCTTGATGGGGGTTCTGTTAGATGTGTGAGACAACATGTGATGGAAGCTAGGGAAAAACTAAGGGAAAAAATGGGGTCGAAACTATTTGAGGAGTTGGGTTTTTGTGAGATGGGAGAGGATGTTGCTAAGCAATGGACGGAAGAGGAAGAACAGATTTTTCATGAGGTCGTTCTTTCAAACCCCGCATCACTGGGTAAGAACTTTTGGGATCATCTTCCAGTTGCTTTTCCTTCTCGAACTCACAAGGATCTTGTAAGCTATTATTTTAATGTCTTCATGCTTCGGAAGCGTGCCGAACAGAATAGGTTTGACCCCCTAAACATTGATAGTGACAATGATGAGTGGCAACAGAGTGAACTTGCCGTGGTAGAGGATGACGAGGACTCTGTGGTAGAATCTCCTATCGATCAAGATGCTCCATATTATTGTCAGGAAGAGCATTTGGAGGATTGCCATGAAGACTTGGACGATGCAAACAAGGTGGATGCTTGTGAAGGCGGTGTTGATCTGGTTTGTCAGGTTGGAGCTGATGAAGAAGATGGAGGGGATATAGATGATGGATCCGAGGCTTTTGCTAAGGACTCACCTGGTAATTTTTGTGACACCAAGATTGATGTGCTGGGCAAAACCCCTGGCAATAATAGGGGGGATATCGATGTTCAAGATTATTCCTGCACATCTTATGAGTGTCAGCGAAACAGGATAGAACTCTGTTGTCCACTTGACGATGGAAATCTGAGTTCCAATGCAAGAGACTGTAGTGTTGGATGATGTTATCACTTTTCAATACACGCAGATATGTTTACGATCCTTGCAATAAAAATAAGAACAAAAAACTTGGATTTTTAAGAAACAGAAAAAAGTTTAGTCGTCTATGAATATACTCTCGGGAAGGTTAGCCACTGTTAAGCATGTGAAGCTGACCGGGGTCTGTTTATTGTTCCTTTTACGGATTGTGTCGGTTCTGTGGGCATCATTTCTTAGAGAATTTTCAACCGATAAGGGATGATCATCACAAATAAGAATCATAAAAGCTGGTGATGGGTGATTGACCTTCCAAAAAACCATTCCTCTTGTTTCTCCTTTTGAATGTTTTACACGTGTTGGCAGTGGCATCATTAGAGAGTATTTTCTCAGTAGGTAATTGATGTCCATGGGCGCGTCAAAAGGAACTCTCGTGGAAGCTTGCTTTCAGCATGGTATGGTTCTGAAATCTGAAGCCAAGGTTTTTCCCATTAGAAGTGAATAAAAGAAGTTTGTTACACGCTGTTTCACTGTATGATTCTCATTATTTATCAGAAACGACCAGACATTCTGTTTCTTTATCGCAACTCTCTTTTTTGTTTCTTTTCTTATTTTGGCAATGTACCACTAGCAATATGGTTCTCTCTCAGTGTCAGTATCAATAATATTCATTTTTGTCATGTATATCTCTATCTCTCTCTATCTATATAAACATATATACATATATACATATATATGTGTGTGCATATATATATATATATATATATATATATATTACACCATTTGTCAATTTACTTTCTTCAAGTTATAAGCCACACAGAAGTTTGGCAGAAAGGAACAAAGAAAAGAATTGCATTAACAAGGCGTTGATCACAAATGCTTGAGAGAGAGAGAGAGAGAGAGAGAGTGGTTATACTCAGCATATAAACAAAGTTAAATTAATTTTTTATTTTGTATTCTTCCACATAGTTGGTCCTTATTCGTAATTTTGTAGGAGGCAACAACCACGGCATTTCCTTGCAATTGCAAAGTGCCAAGTTGTCATCATTTAAGCATTATTTTGGATGGTCTTGAGCTCCTTTTATCTCTGAAGTGAAAGTACGAGGGTGATAGGTAAACATCCATAGTGCAGAGAACATGTTAAAAGCTCCAATTTTATGGTTAGTTTACAAGTTACTTATTGTCTTCGTCATTGATGCAAAGAAATGGCACTTTTTAGACACGATTTGATCCTGTCAGATGCAACAACACTAATATCCTTTAGACATGCAGAACATACACATTCTTTTTTTTTCTTTTTTTTTCGTGATTTGATCTTTTCTTTTAATAAAAAAAAAATTTTGGTGGAATGGAATTATTGGCTGATAGGTTTAATCTAGTGCAGCTTTATAGATGGTGACCGAGCATGACAAGAGCATAAATCCATGTGATGGTTCTTGTTTTCAAACACTTTCCTCATAGTGTTTCCACAACACTATGATTGGATTAAAAAAAAATCCACAAAATCAACATGAACACCCCCTAAATAATACTATTTTTTCATGAAAAAAGAAAGAAAGAAAGAAACACTAGCATTATTGCGTGTCTATACGCAATAAAATGCTCGAGAAATTATAACCCGGATTTCGGTTCACCAAATCGCAAATCCGAGCCATCTTCACAAAGCAGACTTGAAACAGCAAAGCAGCATTTTAGTCCAATCATCCTATGGCAATTAAACAAATATGGCTGATGAAACCATCAATGATCAAACTATGGCTTGGTCATTTCAACTTCTGGAACACCATAGACCTCGTATGGACACCATAGCTTAGAAGATAACATAAATAAACCAAGAGTGGGGACATGCTATATGTCACCCTATAAAATATATACATTTCTTAGTAGCAAGCGGTACACACCAAGTCTCTTTGTATATTGCAATTTTCTTTTTTGGAATACAAAACTTTTTTTTTTTTTTCCTATTATTAATATATATACGACGAAGAATATCTCTGTGCTTGACTCTTTAACCAACTATGGGCTTATCCATTTATACGTGCCACATATCAATCCATCCACATAGAAATCTCATGTAACATAAAATGATGTACATAGGATATACTAGAAATCAAGAATTTTGCTGTTAGATAACTCTAGTAGGATAAAAAATGAATTACCAGTAGTTATGTATTTTTTAACTGTTAAATCGATATTAAAAACTGTTTGTTCTGCATACTTTTTTAATTCATTATGATTTTGACCATATTTAATGGTCAAGAAATCAAGTGTTATCGGCATAGAGGTTTACCGAAGTTGAACTTAGTGCTAAGAACATATGATGCTGTGGGATAGTGCTATTGGAGCTTGTTATACACTCAACATGGACATATATAGCCGAAAATGACCATTTACTATTGTATTTTATGTGGGGTGAATGAAATAATTCCTTTTTTTCCCTCTTTATTTTATTGTGATTTTCATTGCTCTGTCTGATGTTCAAAGGATTGATTATGTACGCTTACCAAGAGGTTGGTTAAAAGTCTAGCTCACGTTGATCCTAACTTAATCGTTATTTATTACCTAATGCATGCTTTAACGTATCCATGATCAATGATTATTTCAGTAGTGCAATAATTCCATATTTCATACCCATTGCAAGTTCAGGCAGTACTAACTAAAGAACAATTTTGGTTGCAGAATTAATCTAGCAATAATTCGACACTCACTTAACGTTGAGGTCTTGAATTTGAACTAACCACCCGAATTAAAAATTTTTAAAAAAAAGTACTCAAGAAAAATTATCATTTTTCATTTATTAAAAAAAAGGAAGAAAGAAACTTAATGCTATGTTTGGTAGGAAGGAAAGAAAATAGGATAGAAAGAAAATATGGAAGTGATGAAAAATAACAATGATGGAAAGGAAATTGATTTTTTTTTATGTTGTTTAGTATGAGAAGATGAAAAGAAAATGAGCTTACCTTCACTTGTTTGGTATTGAAAGTTAAATTGGGAGGAAAGAAAAAATTTTACTCATAAATTATTTTTATACCCGTTTAGTAACTTTACTCACTTTAATGAGTTGTCCTCATTTTCCATCTCATTTTCTGTCCACTTGTGGAAAGAAAAAAAATAGTGGGGTCCACATATATTTTTTCCACTCTATTTTCTCTTCCTTTCTTTTTTCTCTCCTACCAAACAACCTACATTTTCATTTTCCCTCCCAAAATCCCTCCACCTTCTTCCTTCCTTCTACTTTTCTTTCCTACCAAACATACTAAATGGCAATTGGAGGCTTAAAACTGTCCCTTGTTGAGAATATTATCATTTGGGAATTGGGATCTTCACAGTGAAAGGAATGGTTTGCTCTTGCCAAAGGAAATGACAGTTCTTAGGCCATTTGATGAATAATGGTAAAGGATTAACCCATTTTTGAGCCTTATATTTGCCTTAATTCATTCGTACAAGTATAGTTCTAGAAGTAAGCTCCTTGGTTTTTCAACACCTAATCAAGGGGTTTTAGCACAGTTGCCCTTGTCATGATTTAGAAAATTGTTTCTTAAACTTTTAATTTTAACAGTCAACTCTTGAAACTTATAAATTGTTACAATGTGCCATATTTTACTAAACATGTTCAAGTGTTTTATTGGATTTAAGAGATTTGAGGAATTAAAAAATTTGTGTTACATTTAAATTGGAATGTCAGAGATTTTCGTCAATGTGTTTTTTGGACACTAATTTAGCACAATCAATGTTAAAATGGTACATATTGTAATAATTTTATAAATTGAAGTAGCAACTTATCAAAATTAAAAATTTAAAGGACAAATTACTAAAGTCATACAAATTAAAGAGCCAAATGTGTAAAATACCCCCTAATAAAATAGAAAATCTCAAGTCCTCCGAGAAAAATCAAACTTAAAGATTCTTCACTTGTAGTGCATCCAATCGATTTCTTTTTTTTTTCATCCCTTTTTTCTTTTGGGACCATGGGATCCTTTCTATAAGAACATTCACACATTTTACTCTTTTTTTCCCCACAAATATCAGGGGAAAAAAAAAACCCCACTAGCTATGGCTTCTTAAATAATCCCAAACAAAACCTCATCATTTACTTAATTATATAAGGCTTTTTGTACGGTAAGACCTCCTAAAAAAATTTACTAGCAGAATATTCTGTTTTGACTATTAAATTATTTTTTTAATGATTAAATCTACAAGAGAGTAATTTTGTGTAATACATGTAAATTTTTAATATGAATTTGTATAAATCTAACCGTTAAAAATTTAATCTAACTGACAAAATAAAATATTCCACTCGTAAATTTTTTAAAGAATCCCACAGTAAAGGCTTCCATTTTAATTAATAACAAAACTATTCTTTTTCATCTCTCTTTTCCCGTCCAATGCCTTGAACATCAGCATTCAGCAAGTGCGAAGAGTACCTATTTATGATTTATTGCTTTTATTATTATTATTTTTGTTAGAAGTTTTATAGCTTTCCTTTCCATGCATGTATTTTCTCCTTCCAAATGTAGCATCAAACTTTGAGAGAGAAAGTTACAGTGCAAGAGATCCTATAGTCGCTTATTTTACTCCCTCTCTTTTCCTTTTTCCCATTTTAATTTTCTTTGCTTCTATTCGTGCTCAAGTCACTGTAAAAACAGTGTTCACTATAGAAGAAACAAACCAATTCGCATTCAGTTAGACCAGTTATAGGAGCTTGAAGATTTCAAGCACCATTTTAGTGAGAGAAAGAGCTAGAGAGAAAGAGAGAGAGAGAGAGAAGACCGCGAGAATCAGTTTGAGCAGATCTTGATCGTTGAATCAGAAACCCAAATGGTTCATTTTCCAATCACTTGAGAGGAAAAAAAAAAGGTAAGCAAGCAAGAAATCTCTCTGTTTCTGATCTGGGTCTTTCTTCATTCCTCTGTTTCTTGAATAACTTTCTTCCTTTTTTTTCCGGGAAAGTCGACAACTTTCTCGGCTAAGCTTCTTGGTTCGGTTTCTGATCTGGGTTTTCTCAGCTACCTCCATTTTCAGTGAACAAAGCTGTTATGGATCAAGATCAAGAACAGAGACACGTCTGCAGATTCTGCAACAAGAGTTTCTTGAGTGGAAAAGTCTTGGGAGGCCACATGAGGTGTCACGGAACGAAAAAGCTCAACAACAAGAGCGAGAAAGATGGTGGTGAGAGAAGTGGCTATGGCTACGGGCTAAGAGTCAACCCCAAAAAGTCTTCAAGAATTTCAGGCTCAAACGACCATGATTTTGATTCTTCATCTGGGCAAGAGATTTTCTGCCAAGTTTGTGGCAAAGGGTTTGATTCTATGAGAGCTTTGTTTGGCCACATGAGGCACCACTCGGGAAAGAAGAAGAAGAAAGAGCAAATCCATTGCAAAAAATGTGGGAAAGAGTTTGAGTCTTTGAGGGCTCTGATTGGCCACATGAAGAGCCATTCATCGGAGAAGAGATTTGTTCTTGGTGGTGGTGTACAAAGAGAGAAGCTTTTTGGGGAAACGAGCCAGTTGGTGCGCAAGAAAAGGTCGAGGAGATTGTTGAGGTACAGGGCTGTTAGTCCCAATTGTTCTTTTTCTTATAATAATATGAGTGAATGTTCTAGTGGGGTTGAGCTTCTTGATCATGATAAAGAAGTGGAGGAGGTTGCTTTTTGCTTGTTGATGTTGTCTAGAGGTGTTCACAGCTGGGATGAATTCTGCTCGGTCGCCGAGTCGTCGGATAACTCCGAGTCTCCGAATCACATCCCGGGGAATGGTGATGGTGATGGTGATGGTGATGGTGATGATGGATGGCTCAAGTTGGTGAAGAAACCAAGGCTGGAGATGTTGGAGCTGTTTGGTGGGAAGAAAGTGTCCGACTTTAGTGAAAATGATTTTGGGCTCGGAAATGATGGTGAGGAAAAGATGGTGAGTTTGGAAGCTTCTGTTTCTAATGGTGATACTGATTATGAGAAAGAGAAAGAAAGTGAAGATGGGATTGGAAATATCAACTCCGTCGGATTGGAATTTGATGAGAATCAAAGAGAGGAAGTAATAGTAGGAGCGGATCTTGTTTCTCATAGCAAGAAGAGCGAGTACAAGTGCAGGACTTGCAACAAGATTTTCCACTCTCATCAGGCACTTGGGGGCCACCAAACCATCCACAGGCTAGCCAAGAACAGCTTCCCCGCCTTCCAATTCGACGTCACCGCCGCGCGGTGCAGCGATTTCCCCGGGATTGAAGCCGAGCCCAATGATAATTCAATGGAGATGGAGATGGAGATGGATCGAGTGACTTTGACAAGTTATGAGAGTAATACTAACAATAAGGAGCACAAATGTCCCATATGCTTCAAGGTGTTTGCTTCAGGCCAAGCTTTGGGTGGCCACAAAAGGGCTCATACTGTTAGAGATTCTGAAGTTGAAGCGGACCAGATCACATTGATGAAGCAAGAAGTTTGTAATATCTCAGATGTACTTGATGTTGGTGTTTCATTGACACTAGGGGATATTAACGCCAACAATGGTGTTCAGCTCAAGCCATGGTGGGTCAAAAACGACCACAAACATGAGGTGCTGGTGGGTCTAGTGCCCAACTGAGAGGACTGATTTCATCTAATCATTGCTCTCTTGGAGTATCAGTGATTTTTTCTTTCTTTTCTTTTTTTCTTTTTTGGGTGGTTTGGGGAAAATTCATATAGAAAAAAGCTTTTGTGGTTTTGACTTGTAAATGGCATTAGAGATTTTTTTCCTCTTTTTTTCTTTTTACAGCTTATACTGGTAGTTTGATCATTTTTGTTTCTTTTCATATGGGAAATTTGTTGACATGTGTACTGGGGATATTTTTGTCCTTTTAGATGAATGAAAACAGAACAGCCAGTTTTGTTGACCCTTTTCTTTGATTATCAAATTTTTCATGGGAAAATGTCGTTTTTTTTTTTTTTTTTTAAAATTTTTAGTCCTCAACCACTAAATCTGAAAAACACATCTCATCTACTGTATCTTATATATATATTATATGATTGATTTTATTTTGTTGGATAGTCCACTCGTGTATCTACTTCTCCCTCTAATTAGAACGCTTTCTTTAGCAAGAAGCTAGAGGTTCCTTTGCTGTGGTCCAAAAAGAAAAACGGTCCATTTGTGCCATCTCATTTTGTGCTTAGATGGCCTAAAAAAAAATGTTACAATCTTGACGAAAATTTTGATCATTTTAAAAAAAAAAAGAAATTTAAGACCCAAAAAAAATGATGTTGTGAAATTGGTTGCAACACAGGGAAGTTTGTGAAAATAGAAAGGAGAAGCTAGGCATGATGAGGAATTGACTAGTCCTTTTTGGTAAGTAATCATCCACTGGCCACTGATTGGTTCTGTAGCTATGAGTTTCTGAACCCATTATGATTACAAGTGTAGAATTAAATAAAATAATGGTGTTGGCTTAACTCATTAGTCATTACTGGACACTTTTACGCATAATCTAGACAAACGAGAGCTGAGTTGGATATTGGACATTTCTGATTATGAAAGTGCAAACCCAGCAAAAATTTGTCTGGCTAGAGTTGGGTTTTAATTTACCTCTTCCGTGTTGACAAATTTTGGCATAAATTAAGGTCAATAACACTTATAAAAACTAGTAATACATGAATAGATTAGAATAACACGCTTTTAAATAGTTAATATTCTAATAAATTGGTTTTCTAAAAAGAGCTTAGCCTAGTATGCACGTGGTCGTGTAGGTGAATAGTTAAATTTCAAAAATGATACTTAAAACTCATTTAGTAAAAAAACATGGTGCTTTGAACTTTATGGTTTAAAATGGAGATTTTTAAATATGTAGTTTGGATTTTTAGTTCAAAACATTGAAAATCAATAGTTCAAAACATTAAAATTATTAGTTCGAACCAAGTCTCAAAAAGTTTACCTAACTCTACTTGAACATGTTTATTAAACGGAAAAAAAACATTATATTTGAACATTAAGGCTGTGTTCGTTTCATGAGTTTGGTTCGAATCAGCCCAATGACCCAAATTAGTGTTTGGTTGTCCACAGTTGAAACCCTAACTCGAATTGTGATTTGAGTTGAGCTGCCATATTAGAATTCAATGCAGGCGTAAATTCCATTAATTCGAACATGTCTCTATAGTAATTCCTCTCTACCCAATTCAGGCAAAAGCCTGTGGGATTCTCTCACGCCTTACCGTTTCTCTCATCTTTTCACCGAAAGCTCTCCTCTCTGTCGTTTCCCATCATCTACAGTGTTGGAAAATTGTAGAAAGCTCTCTCTTCTAGCTTGGTGAAGTTCCACTCTCATTATTCGAGTCTGCCTCTCATATGCTCTGCACAACTCATCAGGCAAAAGCCTGTGGGATTCCGATAGCTAATAAAACCAGGGAGTGATAAGACTCGGGGGAAATTTTTGACCAATGAAATACCATTATGGAAATTAATAAATATTTATTAGTAACAATTCGTTGGAAAAGCATGGTTTCCACGCAAACAAATGTCGTTTATGCTCCATGTGTTAAACGACATGCAATTTTACTAAAAACGATGTGTCGTTTATCCTCCTCAAAATTTCCGTTGTCGTATAAGCCCTTTTTGATTAGATAGATAAAGTTCTCTGCCTCAGTTCAAAGCGACATGCCGTTTATTGTTAAGAAGTTCCCTTCTTTTAAATCCTCAATCAACAAACATGTCCCGTAGTTATCAAAAGTTTGTTGTCGTTTATTTCCAAACAACTTGTGTTTGTTTAAACTTTTTGACAATATTTTATTTTCTTGTCCGAACGAAGTGACGACATGTTGGTAATAGACTAATCATTTGCATGGCGTTTGATGAAAAGTTTGTTTTGTTTATTTCCATGAACGACTTTCTGTTTGAACTTTGAACGCATCATTTTTCTTTTCTTTTTTCCTTCGTAAGGAAGTTTTCTTTTTCACACCCATTGAACTGCAGGTCATTCAATTTTCTGAATTTGTTGTCGTTTACGAAAAGGGCATATACTTTACTCATAGAACGATGTATCTTCATGACTTTTAATATCTGTTGTCGTTTAAATTATGGAGCACTATGTCGTTCATTATATGGAATTTTGCCTACCTAAAATCGACAAAACAATTGGTTGTTTGGTTATAGAAAACAAAACCAAACGTCTTTATTTGTTTATTTATTTATTAAAAACACCACCAAACGACATGTAATTGAAAATTAGACCCTTTTTTTTTTTTTTTTACTTTTGCCGAAAACGTTATGTCGTTAGATCTGATAATTGGCTGCCGACAATATCAAGAACGACGTATCGTCGTTTGCTTTTTCATAGTTCAGAGGGCAGAGATTGAAACGACATGCCTCTATACATTATAGTTGGACGTCGTTTTGTGTTTAATTTTTACCTTCATCTAAGCCGAAAGCAACGTGTAATTCAGCGTGTTCAGCTTAAACATGTCATCCTTTTATGTAGTTGAGTTTTTTTGTTTTGTGTTTTCCTTTTTCTAAAAAAATAAATGGACATAGAGCTCGTTTGGTTGGAGAATTCGTTCTTTGACTCGAATCATGATTTATGATTCGTTACAGTATTTTCTCTCATAAAAAACACACTTAAATCGAAAATGATCTAATCTCATGATTCTAATTCATAAACTAAACGGGCTCATAAAATTTGGCTATCGCATGCTAATTTTTTAGCTGATCTATTATACAAAGCTCGGGACACGCGTTTTTTTCTTTTTAATTCCCCAATCTTTATTATTATTATTATTATTATTTTATTTATTTTTTTGCTACTCATTCCCCGATCTTTATTGATAAATAAACAAAAACAGTTTATTTGCCTTTTCGGAATAAGAAATAACTAGTATTTAAGTTTAACTGTGCCCATATGTTAGTTGCTTCAAGATAATATAGAAGGGACGAGCTGGTCTGCAATTTGCAATGCTGGAACAATCCAGAAACTTTACTGGCTTTTAAGCATGTGGGAATTATTTTAGTAATAGTACAGGTAAGCAGAAACGTAACTAGACTTTTAATCCAGCGAGACACAAATAAACATAAAGTTTATAAACTAACACAATATAAAAATAATTTCTTGCAATATTTTTTAGTAACAAAATTCTATTAAAAAGCCTCACGTTAAAATTGGAAAGTTTGTTCAGCCTTTCTACTGTGGTCCATGAGAATTGAGACTTATTATAATGACACCCCTTATAATTTATTAAAATTACAGTAACACCCCCTTAACGGAATTTAATAGCAGCAACACCTCTTAATTGAAACTCTGTTAAATTTTAGTGAGAAATGTCAAAACTACCCCTGTGTTAAATTTGTTTTCTAACATTTTTATTTGATTTTTTAATAAAAAATTGTGTTAGGATGTGTTGTATTATTTTTAAAGAGTTAACTTAAAAATATATTACAGAAAAATAATGCGTTTAATTTTTTTGTATTATATTTTTTGTCATTAATGTTTAAAATTTAATTTAAAACCATTTTTGTTTCATTAATAGGATATATTTGTCCAATTTAATTTATTCTTTCAATTAAATTAATTTTCATTACAATATAGTTGGTCCTTATAATGCACTAAATATTAAATAGTTTTTAATTTAATACGCTAGTTTAGTGGATGGAGAACAATACTAAAATAAAGGATTTTTAGAAAAAAAATCAAAAAACATATTTGTTTTTATTAGAGTGAAAATTATAGTTATAAATGTGTAAAAATTAACTAAACTCATTTTTTGATGCTAAATAAGTGTATAAACGTCTTTTCTAATATTATCTATAACTTAGAAATATTTTATGGTAAATAGAGGGGCATTTTTGGTATTTTAAAAAATTTAATGGTCAAAATTGACTATCACCTCATAGTCAATTAACGTAAGGGGTCTCCGTGTAATTTTTATAAAAAATTGAGGGGTGTTGATGTGATTAGTTTCGGTCAAGATAGTGTCTCTATTATTTTGGCAAAACACAAGAGTATCGATGTAATAAGCCCTTAGAATTGGAAGCAAATTAGGTCAAAGTATTTAGCAATATGCCACAAAAATTAGAAGGGAATCGACTTTTGTCGGGGTGCTTAAAACTATAAGATTTTATGCCATGTGGCAGAACAAAAATTGAATGGAAAAGATTAAGGTTTCGTTCACTTCACCGATTTGAGTTTTAAGTTTTTACAGTAAAAGGCTCTCAGAAAATGTCACATTTAACTTTTTCTGCTACAGTGAAAAACTATCAGAAAATATCACATCTCAGCTCGAATTGAAAACTTGAATCTACGAAGTGAACGAGGCCTAAATTATTCTGAAATACTGACTATAATTTTCTTCTTCTCCTCTTTCTTCTCTCTCCCTTTCTCAACTGCTTCTCGTCTCTAATTTCTTTTTCTCTTATCTTTCTTCACCTCTCTCTCTCTTATCCAGTCGCCGACGCTAACCCCTTTACCTACTATCAACCAGCGCATCCACACCACTTCATCTCTAGATCTCATGGCTCAAATATTGCGCATCATCGAAAGATCCCATTGCTGCAACATTGCCCGTCGCTGTCGACGAAATATCAGTGCTGCCGAGAACAAAGAAGTACAGACGCCGTCCTCATCAAATCCGCACATCTTTAGTGCAAAATCGCGGCCAGATCCGTCGTGAGATTTTGTTTATGACAGATCAAAGAGGAACGATGCGAGGACAGTATAGAGTTGGAGATCCCCCATAGCCATCTTCATCGTCATC